AAAATTGTTTATTCCGGTCTGTTAAACGATGCGGGTCATTGAGTATCAAAAACAAAACATGGCTCTCTTTAGACCGTTTGAAGCATCCCAGAATCACAGGATGAAGATACTAATCAAACTGCTTATTAAAGCTGTGGTGAAATAGGTGTATGGATGGCTATGGAGCTGGTGTTCTACAGCTTGCTTATTTCATGACGATATAACAGTAAGAGTGCAGTTATGGGGATTCGCGATATTTATTACGGACAAGTTTTACAGTGCTCAAATTACCGTGTTCTCGGCTCTGCCATCACATGGCCCATGATATATATTAGAAATTGCCTACTTATTTCACTCTTAGCCCACTAATATGTGGATGGGAAAGGATTCACGAAACGAACAAATGAGTAACTTTTCACTTTTCCAATATATTTATCCGTTATCTGACTTGCCTTAATTCCCAGTCCTTAGCTATCTTCCTCTATTCCTTACCAAGTAATTTTACCATCGGATCATCCCAGAGTGCAATACATTTGGCAGAGTGTTGGCTAGTGCCTACGTTTGTTTTGAACAAGACATCCGTTTACCCTTCGCCCGCGCCGAATGGAGTATGTGGTGACGACTCTGTGAAACTCAGCCCGGCCCCTCAGAGTTTCTCTTGATGAGATCGGGCATAACAAGCTTTGACAGTTTCTCCTCCTGACCACAGAACGGTGCCGCTTCTCGGAAATTTCTAAAACACGAAAAATGTCGATGTCACGGTGACAGTGTAAAAGAATGTCATATTTTATGCAAATATGTAGGTCCTTGTTCGACGAATAAGCGCTATGCACTATTCTGCTTTTCATCGGCGGCGAATTGTGCATGTTCAAACAAATCTGATCGAATGCACTTAGAGCATTTTATATAGAGTTGGTGTCGTTAACTTTTCTCACCAGTTTTTTGTTTAAAGTTATATGATGGCTCTATAATCTGAGGATTCTCTGTATCCTAGTTTGAATCTTTGTTGAGCTATAAAACAACATGTCAGCTGAACTTAGCCCAAAGTTAAACGGGTTGTTTTGATGAATGTTAAGATAAGCGATGTTACTTGCGCAATTTTAGCGATCATCTTATCATCACTGTTTTCAAATGAGGCTGTTTGAAAGGGTCTGAAGGTGAAGTTACTGGTATAGTATAATTATAGCAAGACTTAACATAACATCTTCCTGCCTACCACATTTTAGAGTCTAAACTATTAGATATGTCAGACGACAGTACATTGTTTTCTTACGATAGGGAAATTGAAGGAAAGTTCATCATCATTGGAGTGTCGGTCTTCCTTCACTTTTTCTAAAGACAGGTGACAGCAGCCACCTAACAAGCGCAGCGTGTAGTCTCCTGTTTCCTTCCCACAGAGTGGTATTCATTTATCAACTTTGGAAGGAAGAAGAGCAGCATACTCCAACTGTGGCTTGAACTTAAGACTTATCGGTTGTGAGTTCGATGCTCTACCATCTGAGCAACCCCGGTCTGAAACAATGTTTGGTAAATTCCTTGCTCAATGGAATTTGTGAATAAGACAAAGATTGACCTCGAGCTTAATCAAACCTGCTACTTCCAGCCTATTAGACACAACTTTGCCGAAACGCTTCTTCCGATAAAGTAGTCCTCAAAGCAACGAAGTATACTTCTATTTATTTTTTGTTAGATTCAATCTTTTACAACTGTTTTACAATGCCTGAGGCATCGGCTTTAAACTCTGGAGGTGTGGGTCGAATTTGCGCAAGTAACGATCTTTTTCTTATCTCAAAGTCTTTGAGCAAGGAATTGACCATGACTCCATGTTGCTTCGGTACACCAGCCGAGAAACGGGCAGTACTTCGGTGACTTGCGAAGAATATGGCATCGTGGTATTCTGAATTGGTCATGTCAAAATTAACGACGCGCACTGCCATCCTATCCGATGTGAGCACCCTTTATGACGTCAGTAATCCTTGATCCACCAGACTGCCGAATATGCGGTGTGATGAGCAGCCTGAAGTGAAATTATATCAAATTCAGAGCAGCCTAAGGAAATGTAGCTTAACATTGTAAAATTTTCTGATCTGAATGCAGCCTCGCGTGGTATATTTAGACCTTTCCTGTAGGCGTAAGATCCAGCACATGGGACCCCACTCCTTCCTGAAGACAACGGATAGGATATAACGATCGAAATCACGACAGTGTATTTAAATAAGATTTCAACTGATTTTGTTGCTTTAAATTGTTTTTTAGACCACCCCTTTGTACGTTTCCATCAGTTCAGCGTCCCCAGTTCCAATTCCATACAGATTGAAGGCGACATATGAAAATTACGGGTCGTTTATTGTTCAGTATGTTTTAATAATTTTCAATTGTATATTAAGCGAATGGAGTCTATTTCAGTCCTGATGCAGAGGTAAAGGCAAAAGTGAGTCCCACGCATCCGACGATATTCCAAATTGATTTTGGAAATCTTACCGCAGTGGACATCACGTTCACTAGTCCGGATCCGTACTGTGGCGTCGCGTTAGTGCAGAACGCGTCAGTAAGATTAGTTTTATTTAATTTTTTTAGATACTCATTCACTAACTGTTTGTTTACTAGTGTCCAATTGTCACATCGCTGGACGAGATGAAACTTGGAGATGCACGAATCACATTTACCACTGATGCTTACCTTCATCTTGAGGTATCGTTGTAAAAACATTATAAACTTTTAATGAAACCATTTGTTCATGCTTGTTCGATACTTTTTAGTCAAGTAGGAAGCAACATAATACCCTTAATATCTTTTATCGTGCTACATGATAACCAGACAGGAAAAATCTATTCTTCCTAACTACACAGCGTCACTTCCTTGAAGTCAAATACCCAGATGACGTATCTGCGCGGTTCAACCAGATATCCATTTATCAGACGTGAAAATTGAGTGACGACGGTTTCGAATATCAGTAGCCGTTCTGGTGTCATGTGACTATGTGCTAAGGAGAATCCATATTGCTGGTGATAGGAAAAGATTTTCTTAACGGCGGAACAGGAAGTTAAGGACACTATATGAGTTAGAATGGGTCATACCTGAAGGCTGCTGATAAATCTTACTTTTTACTGTGTGCGGAACATTAAGTCTCAGAGAATTGTCAAAGCGATGGCACAAAGCATTGAACTTTTGAAACATTGAAACTGAACTCTGCTTACACATCTGCGAACAAATGTTTATATTTTGTCATATTTTTTCGTACTGTCTACTATCCGTACAGTTGGAAACTAGGCTATCCACGAGAGTTGTAAAAGCTCGGAGAGAAACCTGACACGTGGAGAAAATATCTTCTAGAGATTGAGATGAAGCTTCCAGGATCTCTTCAAATTAATCTGTAGAACCTGGGGATAGTCAGAAGTTATTCGTTTTTATGCGGAACGTACATTTACAGTGACCGAGGTTATAGCAATGTAAGGTGTGGCAAAGTTTGTTTGGAAGGCGATCTAAGGTACAAAAGGCCTTAAATAACGGATATTCTTTGAATAACTTTTGTGAGCTCATTTGCATGGAGTTTTGGAAATGCACAGAAACAATGACAGTTCTGATGCCTGCTGCCGCACTGAAAAGGAAGATCACTGAAGTCGCACGTCGCACCAGTTACTTTGCATCTGCCTCACTAAAGGCTACGATAAACAACTGGAAAGGCTATGTAAGAAATTTCACAGCAATTCATTCATGATCAAGACGATCAATATGATTTTCATCCCGTTTTTTACCCCCCTTCCATCGGGTTTGCTAAATATACTGAAAATATGGGAAGGAAGTGCATGACCTCTCAACAGAGTAGAAGAAAAGTTTTTGTCTGGGAGGTCTGATCGAATCTTTGAGAATGCTGCAGTGATTTCAGATGGACGGCAATCTACTGGAAGACATCCGACTACTCAGAGATCTGTATCTAAATTAACAGCAAGAAGTCTATATTCTTCGTTTGGATAAGTAATTAGGATAGCACGGAGAGGGATTCACAGGATGGAATCTCTTCATGATGTCACGCTGTAGGCGGCCAGTGGCCTTAGTGAGAATCATATTGCTCTGATTTCTAACGCCTGTGAGCCTAGTTCACGTAATTTGGCAGTTGATGGAGGACCAGAGCCGTTGAAAATTCTTTTGAAATTGGTGCATCTACAATCTGAAAGGAATAGTATGCCGTGAAACTGATCGAAAGAGCCAGTTGATCAGTGAAGCTTTTGTTTATATCTAGTCTCTAGTCTTTTTTCGGTTCTTTACTATTTTGAAAGTTTAATGAAAATACGGTTTAGGCTAAAGATGGTATCAGCAGCGTTTATGTAGTACTCTTGTCTCAGCCCGATGACAATTTATGTGGAAATTCCTCTGTACGAGGTTTGTCATTTGACCAATGACTGTGCTGAATTTCTGTACATTTCTGTTCAATGCGTTCAGATTATAAACTGAAGAAACACGTCGTTGCCAAGCTATCGAAATCGTCTGATATGCAGTCTGCACCCAAGATTCCAGTTGTAATTCTGGCGGTGGTAGTCGTCATCATCTCTGCGATAACCATTTTGATATGTGTCTTCATTGTTGCCAGGTGCTCTCTTTGAATCGTTCGGAATAGTCTCAGTTGAAACCTTTTTATTTGCAGCAGAGCGCGAGACAGTCACTATGGCAACGGTTCATTGTTTTCTGAAAATGTGGAAAATGTTGAGCATTCGACTGACATCCTTTCAGACTTATGTTCAGGTAATTGCGAAGGCTACGACGTACTGTTCTAAATTCACATTCTCTAGGTGCTGAACAGCCGAAGCCCGCACTGACGGTAAATCGTTGCCTGTTCCCCATTGTTCTTTTTCCCTAATCAAACATTCTTCAGATTCTCGCAAGTCATCCGGTGCAACTACTGCTTCTGTTGTTTGTGATTGGATCGATTTTTGTCATTTTCCTTTTCATTTACAAGGATAGGCTGCAAGAGGTATTTGCTTGACCGTTACTTTATAGATGGTTGAATTGAAGTTTTCATGAATTGTGAAACGCTTAAAGTGTACGTGAAGGCTTAGAGACTAGACTTGGGTTTCACCGTATAAGAAGAACTGATGTATGCTTCAATTTTTTGCTACAACCAACTGTGTAAATGCATACTTGCTTCTAAGTTACAAAAATTTGTTTTGCTACAACGAAGAACAAGGAAGTAAATAGCTTAAAAAAATACAGTCGCATACAACACGCCGATACCGCGATGTTTATAGCACTTGAAGCGCGCATAACAATCACTTTCAGGGCGTACCAGTATTTAATCATTGACTGTGTGTTTCCCGACTAACCTCAGAAAGAAGTGTATATGAATTGCTGCTATAAACCTAAAGTCCTTCCCTGTTCAATGAAATTTAAGATCCTGATGTTCGAACATCCTCTGAAAAAATAACTGCCAATGGATACTTTACCAGTGAACAGACTCTGTCGTCGAACTTGCGGTTTCTCTGCTGAGGTGGACTTCGTAAAGCATTCTGCGTGATATATTGTCATGCAGAACACGCGTGCTGTTTTTTATATCGTTTACCACGAAAAGGTTGCTAACTGCGTAACCGTGATGTGCTTGGTACAGTGGTAAAGTGATTGTAACTGTACCCATGTCTGACTGGTGATTACCTGCTTCAGCTTACCATGCTGTTTTTGCAATTTAGAGAAAACGAGCTAAACAACAATATTCAAATGTTATTACATGTTTGAAATCAAGGTTAACAAATGTTAGTTTTCACTGTAGCTAACAAATGTTAGTTTTCACTGATGAGGTTTTTCTACTGCATTCATGCATTGCTGTCGCTCTAATACCGTTAAACCTTGGTATGCTCTTTTTAACTTTTGATTCAAGAAGCGATGTTATTGCCAAAATCATACGAAATGGTGCTTTGAGAAGATCTCAGAAAACGATTGCAGTATTTCTTTCCGTGGTCACTGCTAGTCGCTTTTTTTAATCAGTAGTCAATATTGATCAGTTTTGTTGTGGCCGTGGTAGGACTTGCCGTTCTGCGTTTGAAGTGCAACTTGTAGTTGACCGTTTGCATAGCGTGCCTCTGATAAGGAAGTGTAGTGGCTATTTTAGATTTGGTCATTTTAGGAAGCTGAAGTTTTTATTGATTAGTGGTTTGATCTAAATTTTTTCGCTTAGAATACATCCTTTGCGGTCGTCTCGGACAAGTGCTATTACAATTTTCGGTGTCTTCGTTCCGGTGCTGGAATCGTTGCTTTCAATCATTTTTCGGCTGCCCTACTCCCATATCTCATTTTCGGGATTAGCATTGGCGCTTTTACCTGTTACCGAATGAGGTATGCGGATTGGTAAACAGTTTCGCTGTAATTTTAGATATATGCATATATTTGCCCTTGCTGTTATTTAGGTACACGAATGGTTTTAAATTATTTGTTTTGATGTTATATTTAATTCTCAGTTACAAAGGACAGCGCTAGCCGTTTCAAAGCAGATAACTTTAAGCACAGATAGTAGTTTTTGCTCTGAAAACACTTTGGTAATTAAAATTTTATTTCCCTTGCCAATAAAAGATGCAAGTAACTGAGGCATCGTGGGAGCTAAAACGTTGCGTTGCGCGTCCGCCTTTAATAACTCCTTAGGTTTCTAAGTTATTGTGAAGTGAAGGACCCAGCGAGATTAGTGGCGACATCCAATAGTTGGAGAATGTTCCAACGGGTTTTTTCTCCAACGTTGATTTTAGTGCTTGTAGCATTAATAATAGGTTATTCTAATTTGTTTGCTCCAAAATGAATCACCTGCACCATTCTTGTCTTTCAGATGTGATTTTCGATTGTCGCTGATCTCTGTAGAGTTTGCTTTGCTGATGATCTTCGAATCTCTGAGTGCTTCCATGTTCAGTTTCTGTCCCAATCGTCATACCGCCGGTTATGGTAATTACGGTGCTGTTTTTGTTCTGTTCTTTGGCATGCACGCATCTTTAGAAAATATGTTCATCTTCTTGGCTTTATCGTTCCTGATCGCTCGCCGTACTGGTTTTTCAGTCGAGTCTCATTCGCTGCACTACGTGCTGACTTTTTTGGCCTTCGCCGTTTTGCTGCCTACGTTTTGGTTGAGCGACAATGCGCAATCGCGCGTGATTTACGCCTTTCTTCTAGTCGTTGTTCTCGTTTTCTACGGTATGGGTAGCTGAATTCACGGTAGCTCACGGCAAATGTCCAAACCCATTTTTTAGAATATTGCTGCTACAGATTTCTGTCGTCGAACGATAATGATGTTTGGCAACTGATGTCGTTTAAAGCACTCGCTGTTGCTCTGTACACAAGTGCTATCACTGTATGGTAAACTGATTTTTGTTTTATTTTGTTTTGTTTGTTGTTGTCTTTGTTTCAGTTAAACTATCAATAACTTGACGAAACGTAGCAAGTGACACTGAAAGACCCACAGATTCTCTATCCATAAGACATTTGTCAGTCGTCCCACTTTCTTTTTCTAATGATGTTTTGCTATCTGCAGATTGCACAGTCAGAAATGAGTGTAAAATTGCAACATTAATGTACATTTCGTGACTCTGTGATGGGCAGAATAGCGTAACCGATTAATCTTGATCTAAATATGCCATTCTTACTTATTTCCCTTCTTTTATTGATATTCTTTTTCTCACTCAGCAGTCCGTTTCACTTATTTTTCGTTCACAAAGGTAGCAGTGTCAGATAATATTTCCAACGTTGCCGATCCTGGCCCAGCTTCGGAACTTGGGCAGACGAAAACCGTAATTTTGAGCAGTCCATCGAGACACCTGCTCGTGATCCCTTTTGGATTTCCACAAGGTCTTTGGTCGAATGGTTGAGGACATAGTTACTATTTTACTTTAACGGAAGCATTCGCAAAACGTTCCAGACCATTGTAACTGTGACTTATCAATTTGGAAATGCTGCGGCTGAACGCCAAGGCTTTCTCGGATGTTTTTGCTTTTTGTGAACTCTGTTGAGACGCGGTTCGTCTCCAAACGCCCATTTCAGCCGCTAGTGTCCGAAGTCGAAGTTTTTCTGTCATGGCCCACCATTCTTTACCGTAGATGAGCATGGGCATAAAAATCGACTTAAACATAGACATCTTAGTCTTAAGATCATATCATATCGTCATTCAAATCATCTGCCTTGGTCACAATGGTTCAGACTAGTTCATGCAGAACCGCCATTTCCCACTTCAGTTTGTTCCGTAGACCTTTTCCTTCTGTTAGCGTTAAACCCAACCCTAAGGTACCTCAATTTCTCTGTATATTCCACAGTTCCTCTTTCTTTATGTAGAGCACAGCTGGCAGACGAGAATGCATCGGGCCTTTAGTTTTGGCGCGTTCATACGCACACCCTCCAAGTTATACTCGGCTACGAACGTGAGCACATATTTTCTCATTTTCTTTCTTTCTCTTCTTCCTCTCTTTTCCTTTTCCATATCCTACTCATTCTGCTTCTGCTCTTCTTTCCTCCTCTGTGTCCCCTTCACATGTTCTGTTTTTCCACGATCGTTCCTCCCCCTTTCTCTCTATACCGTTCTTTCCAGTTACTCTGTAAACAAAGCGACTTGTCCCTTCCCACGCAGAGCTGCGACTTTGCCCTAATTTCTTATAAGATATGTTATGCATTGTGTCTAACTAATTGATGGGAAAAGTGGCTACCAAACTACAGGATTAAAGACTGCTGTTATTATCTTTCGCCAAAATACGTTTGAACATCTCTCAATTACTACGATGATATGCGTCTTTAAATTTATGCCAATATGTCTCTTCTCTTCTCTTGACTGAAATTGAGATACCTCAAATCAAGGGTAAAATCTCAATCAAGTTTTGCGAAATAAAATTTCGAATAGTAGAAAATGAAAGTTTCTATTTTTGGGGATTAAGCACTTCGCTAAATCTTTTCTAAATTTTATGCTTTCTTTTTGGCTTATCTATGTACGTTATTCAGAAGTGAATTTGTCATTTAGCTTTTTCTCACTGGCTTTTCTTTCGAACTATCGCATTCTGGATTCGACGATTGTATATCTTGTTGTAAGC